TAGCTTATGGCAGCCCACTGCAGCAGGGGCTGCAGCCTATGCTGTCACTGGCGACTCATGGCAGCCCAGCTCCAGGTCGAGTTGCTGCTCACCAACTTAGCTGTAGAGGGCAGTGTCACTGGCGCTCATGTGGGATCCAAACCGGGGCTCTGCTGCTCAGCGCTGTTGTCCCAAGCCAGCTCTTAACCAACACGCCACTCAGCCGGCCCTGATCTTTGTTTTTTATATAAATAAATGACGTTTGAAAAACATACACAAAATACGTCATGACTTTTCCGACAACCCAATAATTTCATGGTAAAACATTTGTGAAAGGATATCAATGAACTGTCATTACATATTTCTACAAGCTAGTGTGTTTCCGTATTGTAGTAGTTAGCTAGTCACTGACAAATTTGTTTTTGAATGTTGAAATCAACATCCTAAAAATGTCCCCTCCACATCCTTTCCATGGTTGACTGGTCAGAAGACAGACTCAAGAGGCTATGTGTGTGTGTTTTAAGAGAGTAATTCATGAAGAAATGCTGATCGTCAGACGTACTCGTTGTGGCTCAGTCTGTGTGTCTCCAGTAATGGCTGGGCAGCAGTGAGTGACCTTGGTACAACACCCACATTGACTGGGTCTTTCTCCTCCGATTAAAGCATGTCAGACAACAGTAAGCACACACACCAAAACCACCTCTCCTATGGAAGGAACCCTTACAAAGAAGGTAGTTGCTACATATTCACTAAGTTGGTTAATATTTACTAGCGTTCTCCAAGAAAAAGCAGCTCTCTATGCACTGACACAAGCTATTATTAAATATTCAACAATATTAAAGGATGATGTAGATCTAAGAATTTTAAACATTTCTAAGTCATTGCAAGGACTCGACTATGTTCCCTCTGCAAATGGCATCTCCTCTACCAAGAATAAGTCTGAATGCTCAATTCTCTACCTTCAAAAATAGAATGGATCCTTCCCACAGGTTAGCAGTTTTAAAAAAAATCTTATTGTAAAGCATATTATAAATGATTAGATTCAGAGACAACTTGACCAATATAAATTTGAGAAAGAATAGTTGAAATCTCTTCCTTTCCTCACAAGTGGGTTAAATTAGCTCCCACCAATTTTGTTCACTGATCGTTTTAGAAATTACTACTTAAACTTTTCTCTTACTCTCTCATCCAATTTTCAAATATACTGTATGTAAATTTAATATTAAAACAATAATTAAGGAAAAGTCAGCTATATTTCTTCAGGTAATAAGGAGTTAAGCATTTTCTGGTGTGACCACATGTGAGAGAAACGTGTTAGACTCACCCACAGTTTTCTGGTGCCTCCTTGTTGACCTGTTGGAAGTTCTAGGTGAAGATCACCTCCACTAGAGTACATTTCTACAACCTGTGACAAAAGAGCACCTGATGGTTAAGTTCAAAACCATATTCTCAATGCACATGATTTCTGTTATTCAGAAATAAATCTGACACCCTAATTCTTTTTTTTTTCCTTAAAAAATTTTTTTTAATTAGTTACAGGTGTACAAGACAATGTAATAGACGTTTACACCCCTCACAAAATGATAACCCCCCTTCCCCAATCTACTACCCCTCTGGCATCATACATAGCTGTTACAATTCCATTGACTCTATTCCCTATGCTGTACTCCACATCCGGTGACCATATATATATAAAAATAAATAAAATTATAGTCAACGTTCAATATGATTCAGCTTCAGGTGTACAGCACAGTGATAAGAGTACTAGGAAAATCTTTTATTCAAAAGGGGTGACTCTGGGTGGGCTTCTAGATGTCTCCTGGAGAGCTCCTTGGTCACATGAAAGACCAAACCCTGATTAGGAGCTTGGAATTTTCAGCCCCTTCTCTCTCCCTCCAGAGAGGGAAGAGGGGTTGAAGATAGAATTAATAATTGATCATGCCTATCCGAGGAAGCCTCCAAAAAAATCTCAACTGTATGGGGTCCAGAGAGCTTCCAAGTGGGTGAACACATCCACATAAGGGGAGGTTGATGCACCTCAGCTCTACAGGGACAGACGCTTAGGACCCTCTTGACCTCGCACTATGTATCTCTTCATCTGGCTGTTTATCTGTATCCTTTATGATATCCTTTGACTGGTAAATGTAAATAAATGTTTTCCTGAGTTCCATGAGCTGTTCTATCAAATTAATCAAACCCAAGGAGGGCATCATGGGAACCTAAGATTTATAGCCCTTGGGTCAGAAGCACAGGTGACACCCTAATTCTTTAACACGAAAACTTTAAACACATTTACAGATATAAATGTAGCATGATATCATGTGATATCACCAGTCACTGGCCTATATGTGTAAGCAATGGTGGTATTTCTAATGAAAACAAGGCAACTTTGAAATATTAAACTTAGAAACAGTGTAGTTGTCTCAGAGACTGAATTTTAGAAAATCCATCCACAGGAAACATCTATTATTTTATGGAAATTATCAAATTTTAGAAATACAAATTTTGTATTTCTTATAACAATACAAGTGTTCTTTACTTACACATTTATAACAAGATCTAGCAGCAGCTCTAACTACTGTAATTGAGAAACAGTGAAGAGACGTTACTCTGGGACATACTCAACCATTTTAATGCAGTCTGAAGACATCTGTTTCCTCCTGGTAGCAAAATCATAGCCACCGTCAACACCGCTGTGGCCTATACCTACACTAGTGTTTTAACAGCTTTACTGAGGGTAGCTGATGTAACATAAGGTGTATAACTTGATGAATTCTGACCTGTGTATAAAGGCATAAAGCTACCACTGTGATTAAGATGGAAACATACTTGTTACTTGCCCCCTGCCCCCGTTTCCTCACGCCCTGTGCAATCCACCTGTTCCTCTCTGCCCCTCCCATCCCAGGTAACTACTGAGCTGCTCTAGGCCACTCCAGGTTCATCTGCATTTTCTAGAGTTGTATAGAAATGAAACTGCAGTCTGTACTCTTGTGTCTGGCCACTTTTATTCAGTGTAATTACTTTGAGATCCATCAAGTTGTTGTATGTATTAATAGTTGATTTCTTTTTGATTTAATGGCTGTGCTACAGCTTTTAACCTATTCGCCTAATGACAGCCATGTGGGCCACTCTCAGGTTTTGGTCATTACAGATGAAGCTGCTGTGAACATGGCATCATGTAAGTCTTGTGTGGACATCTGCTTTCCTTTCTCTTAGGTACAGACCTAGGAGCTGAATGGGTCATTATGGCTGGAGACTTTCCTTTAAATGCAGGTGACTATCTCTTAATAATAAATAATGTATTTAATTAAATACAAATTTGGGGGTGAAGTAATAGAATGGGCGGAAACCTTCACTTGTTTCATCACAAAAGTCCCCCAGGTGTACATAAAAGGACAAAGCAGGAAAAACAGCAATATTTTAGTATACGCTTAAAGGTTTTCCATGTGTGTGGTGTAAGACAAGTACTGGGTGGAGATGAATAAGCTAAGATTCTCTCAGTATTATTACTTGCCTTCCAATTTCTTACAGTGTTGCCCTAAGTACCCGTGGTATTAATAGTAATAGCACCTTAACTGATGGGGTAACTGAAAAACCAGAAAACATCATACATTATTTCATTTAACCTTCCAAGGTATTAAGGAAACAAGCATAACAATGTTTGGAAACAGAAGACTGAAAGGTAGACTACTGAGGAAAATAAAAAATAGGGACAGAAAGACGCTAAATTATAAAATCAAAGGAAAGATTACATTAAAACTAGGTACATGACACATTCCTGATTTTTAGTCCAGTGCTATTTATCTGAAATTAATAAAGTTTAGGAAAAAAGGAACCCAACAATATATACAGAACTGGTGTTAAAAATTCCCACAAAGAATGTTTGCTTCTGTGTGCCTACCTATATGCATGCGCACACACAGGAAGGTCTGATGTGACACACGCAAGGTCACGTGAGTGAGGTCTGTGAGGAAGCCGAGGGACTGGAGCTGTGCTAACGCAACGGTTACCAGCCATATGTGCTCATTTAAGTTCCAATTAATTGAAATGGAATAAAATGAAATGCCCAGTTCCTCAGCCACCCCAGCCACAAATTCAAGTGCTCAACAGCCACGTGTGACTAGTGGCTACTGTACTGGACAGAGCAGATACGGAACCTTTGAACCAT